TTTACGCGTATTTCATTTAAAGTAAAAATTATTATATCTTATTATTATATCTTATTTTTTTCTTTTATTTTATGCTCTCTGTGTACTCTTCTAACCTTTACAATCTTTTCTTACTATCTGTCATTTACAATTTCAAGATGGCGATAAAATGTTGCAAGTTATTCTGTTTAGCAAACCTCCTCTTACACGGAACATTTTTCATAGCCACTTTTACTTTGTGTAGTTAAGTCTCCTTATTCTTACTTCCTGAGACAAACTAACGGTATTTTTTAATAGAATTAAATAAAACAAATGGGTTAAAATAAAAGAAAAATATATATTTAGTATAATATATATTTTATTTAATATAATATATATTTTATTAATATATGTTTTTACATATATTAGCTGTTTTTAAAGTGTAATATTTTTTTTAAGTATAATACATTATTGATGATAAAAATATATTAGTTTTGAATATTTGTGACGTATATATTGTTTTTCCAGCATCACTTGAAAATTTAGCAGTAAAATAATGTCATGACAAAAATATAAAACAACTCACTGTGATGAATTTCCTTTTCAGTTGGAGTTAGTTTATTTATATGTTTATCTGTGTATTGAATTATAGACGAACCTCTTTTTCTACTCTTAATATTATAAATACATGGTATGCTTCCATTCTTTAAAACTTTATTATCTGTTGTAAGAATATAATCCTTTTTGGTAAAATGATTTGAGCACAAGCAAGTAGAAAGTTTGAGAACTGTCTCATCAATATTACAAAATTCTAACCATTTTTTTCTTATTTGAATATCTTTTGGAAATCTATCAAGAATTGCAATATGATTTTACTTAATCTAAAATATCTTGCAAGCGTAGAACATATATTTATTAAGAATTAATATAGTTATTAAGTAATATATTTATTTACTTGTGGTAAGATGCTGTTTTTTCATGATTACCGCATAAAATGCAATATCGACTCATTGTAAGTACGTTTAAATCAACACAAACGTTTATTCAATATGTTTATATCATAACCTATTTGTTTTATTTAATTCTATTAAAAAACCGTTGCTTTGTCTTATTTCCTTGCACTGGCTCCTAGAGGTTATTTTCAAGAAATAAGACAAATCTCGTATATCACGTGGTACTTGCGCAAGCACATGCGCAAAAAGAAAAACAGTACATGAGCAGGACAGAAGTATATCTTCTGTCTCTCAGATCTTGCTCACAGCTCGTCGCCGCTATTCCCACTCCATATCTATAAGCTCTATGCAATAATCGCTACGGCGCAACAGACTAGGCTGACCTTACGCTAGATGCACGCCGATTAGCGGATCTTTAATAATTAATATCTCGTTAATTATTGCGAATCTTCCAAAGTGGTATAAGACTTTTCGTCTTAGGGTGCGTTCGCTTTGGACGCTTACGCGCTTTAAGCGTCAGTTTGTCTTTATTGTTGTTTAAATATAGAACAAAGATAGACTGACGCTCAAAGCGCCCAAAGCGAACGCATCCTTAGAATAACTCTTTCTTCATGCCTACGAGTGGTGAAACGGCAATTATGGGACACCCTGTATATGTTCTAAGGATTCTTTTATGGGCCACAAAATGAAATCGGTTCGAGATCTCGAATGAGTAAAAGCATTTGGCCAATTGACCAATGCGAATGCAACTTTTCTCTTTAAAGATCTCGGACCACTAATTTTAGCATCGTACTCGTTCAATCTTACAGTCATAATGCATAAATATCCTGTTTTGAAAGCAGAGATATCTCAAGAAAAAGTCTTTCCTTTCTTTTTCTCACGTTAAAATATATATATTTATTTATATCAGTGTATTTTTGTAAACAAATCATGTGTCCACAGAAACATATTCATCTAGAAACACATTCATTCACTGCATTTGTTTAATTGTGCCAAAAAAATCCGAAAGTTTTTATATATTTATAAATGGATGTATGTTCACCTCACACCAAAAAACAATGCAACGTCCACTCTTATAATTACGCGCAATCATGTTCACAACTATAAGTCAATTGTTTTTATAAGTTAAAGTATTAACGTATACCAAATATTCGTAAACAAATCTTCGGTACAGTATAACAATACTTTTGTAGAATTATAGTTTTTACCACAAGTTACTTCTTACAATAACTTTGTCTATTTACAATTTAATCATTTAAGCTCCTCGTCTCCACTTTTCTCCGTTACTGAACTTTGTCATCTCCCGTCCGCTGACTCCACAAGTGCCAATTCCTACGCGACCGTTCACATTTTCCGGTGTTGCAAAGATACTTTTCTTTATAACGCCTTTCTTTGAAGACTACAAAGAATAATTAAATCTTATGAAAACAACGTACTTTAAATATACATATCTTTACCTCGTACTAAACATACCTTATTAGTAAATGCTAGCCACTTGTTTTTTTCCAACTCACGTTCTTCTTCTAATTCTTTAAACCGTTGTAATTTTCTCTGTTTCTTTTTTTTCAAGTATTCTCTTTGTTTGTTTGGATCAGAGCCTGCAACCGCAGCTGCTTGCATCTTTCTGTAAATAAATAAATTTATCATCTGAACAAATGTATATAAAAATAGATCCTGTCTTTATCAAGGTAATATATAAGCTGATCGAATACTGAATCGTTTCGCGAGAAGGAAAAGAAGTTTGTTTTCTATCCGCCATTTCATTCCAGTTGTCAGTAACCAATCGATAGCACAAATGAAAGAAAAACGACGTGTAGAAAAAAAACCTGGTTTTTTCTTGTCAAACGATTCAATGTCGGTCAGTATACACGATACAGTTGAAGAAATGGAAAATTGATCTAAAAGTACACAAACATTGTCAAAAAATGCAAAGTAGAAGCATATCACATATAAGACAGTGTCATGTTTATGAATAATATGTATGTGCATACATGCTATATTACAGATTACCGACATGTTGTATATTACCAAAGATTATTTAAACAAAATGTAGAAATGATATCTTCCTAATGTTCTACTCGCGCGCGTATACTTTACCATATAATCAAGATAATTTCTTAAATTTGTTACCAATGATTGTATCAATTATAAATATAATTTTATAAAAGATACTGGATAAGTCGAACAATTCTTGTTACCTTTTCCTGGAGTCCAATAAACAGACCACATCATAAATGAACAATAATGAGCAATTTCAGACGAAACACCATACCAATGGTGGAGTTTTGTTGCCAATTCAGAAAAGAGGAACAATGTGAAAAATAAACGATTAGTGATTGCTTTTTACTTTTTGTTTCTCAAAAGAGAAGACAGACACTTGCAAGAAACATCATAAAGAAAATATTACATTTGTCGATATAATAACGATAAGAATTTTCATCAAAGAACAGAGACAACTTACTTTGATTTTTGGTCTGCCCAATCTGATGCTGGCCTTTTAGCAACAGACTTTAATTGACTAAGCATCGTGACGTCGGTATTCTTGTATTCATTGAATGTTATATTTACAACTCCATCTTCACTTATTGAATCTATAGTAGCCTCATAATATCTGCAAAGTTTCATAAAAATTATTTTCATTAAAAACTGCAAAATGCTTGATTGTCCTACAGTTTTAAAAAAAAAATTTTTTGGATATAGTTGTATTAGTACACAAATAACTGAATAGTTAATACTTGCTTAATACTTTTAGCCTTTTCTGCAACTCTTTAATGTTTAACATTAAAGCTTGGCAGTTTAAATTCAAATTTAAAGTATTGTAAAATAAAACCCACTTAATATTAACTGAAAAATAAACAATTTAAAAAATAAAATAAATAAGTCTTATCACAATTCTTTAATATTTCTAATTAATTATTAATAATTAGTTTTTACTTTTATATAAATTGTTTTTGAATTGTTAAGAATAATAGCCTTAATGCTACACAGAATATCAGGCTGCTTTTTAAACCCTGATGAAGTATCATGCTGCTCTTTAAACCCTGATGAAGTGAGCTGTAATGTTCACGAAACGTTGGTATAAAAATGACACTAACGTAGTTCAAACCCGAAAAAACATCTTTGTATGTTAATGCTACACAGAATAGTTTTAGTTTTCAAAACACATTTAGGCTGACTTCCAAAATTCATTACATGTACTGAAAATAACATATGTGATATAAATTATAGATTTTTAGACTGATAATAATTTAAGAACACAGCCTTATATATATGTATATATATAAGGCTGTGTATATATATATATATATATATATATTTGTGTGTGTATGTCCATATATATGTAAAATTTCATAATATACTAAGGCTGTGTTTTTAAGTTATTACCAGTCTAAAAATCTAAAATTTACATCACATGTTATTTTCAGTACATGTAATGAATTTTGGAGTTCAGGCTAAATGTGTTCTGAAAACTAAAACTATTTTGTATAGCATTAAGGCCATTATTCTTAACAATTATATACAATATATACATATATATATAAAATACATGTTTTTGAATAAATTCTAAAACAACTTTTTATTTAACAAAATTTTAAAGCTTACTTTTTAAGTTATTAATAAAAATAGATGACTTACATCACGAGTCGGATACAAGAGGTAGACAGGGGTGGCGCAACTCACCATCAGCCATGGGCGATTACATGTGGTGCCTGACGCGATCAGCTGATCGCTACACGCTGTTTCTGTATATGTCTCTGTCTCTTTTTTTCTTTTTCTCTCACTTATGTTTTTATTCATTTGTAATTTGTATCACTTAATCGGTGCATCACATAAATCACTGTCACAGTGAGTTGCACCATCTCTGCCTACCTCTTGTATCCGACTCGTAGTAAGTCTCTCTCTCTCTCTCATCTATTTTTATTAATAACTCAAAAAGTAAGCTTCAGATAAAATTTTGTCAAATAAAAAGTTGTTTTAGAATTTAGTCAAAAACATGTATTTTTTAAACTAAAGGGTTGTTTTGAATCACCCCATATATACATATAAACTTGTATATAAATAAAAAATTTCACTAAGATTTAACTTATCTGTATGCAGTAATCTTAAATATGATACTCACTTGCCATCTTCACTCCAAGGTGCCATACACTGATCACCAACCTTCCATTTATTAGCTAGAACTGCAAGCAAAATAGGATCTTTAGCATCCATGCCATTAGCTTGTCTCTTTTCCTGTTGTTGTGACTTAATTAAATCATGTGTCAGCTTTATTACTTCCTTCAGATCAAATTTCAGTTTTATCAACTCCTCATTATCAGGATCTGTCGTAAGAGCTGCTTCCACCTGCAACGCAAGAAATATAACAAGTCAGTACAGATTAATTGCTTATCGAGGTTAACAAGAAACAACAAAACTTTTACCTGCTGAAGCTGTAGCTTGTAATTTTGTAAATCATCCATGATGTATATATCGATCAGGGAACCAATTAGTCAAAGTCACAGCGACAAATCTGCTTTTGTTCTTTTTTTGACCTAAAATGTCACAAATAAAAGCAAAATTTTCTTACGAAAACGCCCGATATCACTTTTAATACGTACCCCTGATGTGGTTGACAAACGAGAAATCCACAGATTAATCATATAGTAGTCTGCTAACTTTGATACTTGGCTAAAGGAAATGTTTGAACTTCTGCGCATGCGATCTAAGATTCGGTTGGTTTGGTGCATATATGGCTCAAAGGACCGCCTTAAGTTAGTCCATACGCCATTCTAAGCTTAAGATTCGGTTTAAATGCAGACCACGAAGTAAGAGGCTGCTTTCCTTTTAAGAGACACAGTCGACACAAAAGTCATTCTGTTTTCGTTCAATATTCAGTGAGAAACAAAAACAGAATGAAACTTGTGTCGACTTGTGTCGACTGTCTCCTAACAGAGGCTGCTTTCCTTTTAGGAGACACAAATCGACACAGATTAACACACTCGAGCACAGTTTGCCACAGTAAATGGAACGCGATATATACAGTGTGTGTACGAACAGTACAAACTTGTAATATACATAACTTAACCTTACAAAACTTTTCAAAATTT